TTTACTTGGGGGCCAAAGTGGCCCCTGAAGACCTTTTTTGGGGTCCAATTTTTTAGGAAAGGGGCCAATAAATTGAAAGTTACAGAAGGAAAAAATGCATCAGGGTACCAATGAAAATAAAGCAGTTTATTAGGATCTATGATAAAATTTAACAGTAAGTGCTCTTTGAAGTGTTTCTTCTCAATAAAGTTTCTTTTGAATCAGATACTAGTATGAAGGATCTGTGAATCACAAGAGAAGAATCCTTAGGCATACATGACGTAGTCAATGATCAAGGGTTTGCAAGAGAGGGAGATTTCAAACAAGGTCAGCCATTTGGAAGTTTTCCGATGTGAGAGAATCAATACAGCAAAGCAAAAGAATGGACTGACTTCTTTTCTTATGTTAAATGGTTTAGAAGCAAAGATCTTTCAATATGCTTTTCTAAAGGGACATAATGTATGACGAAATAACCGATATTGATCATTAACACAGAGAAATGTAGTTGCTATTACGGTGACTAAAATTTTGCCGAATTTTGGTCACCAAGGATGAAATGCTAGTTGCACTGGCGACTGTATAGGTCGCAATTTTGGGCCCTGGGATGGCTTTTAAAATACTATGCCTGGTTAAGCCTGCAGTCTTGTAAAAGGAAAGGGCCAAATCAGCCTTTTCTTCATTTTTCTGGGGGCCATCTGATTGCAACGTAGGATTCCCCCAATGGCACGCTCCAGAGGAAACACTAGCACATACCTAATCATACCTTTTTGGTACACTCCAGCAGCATACAGGTTCATTTGGTCTTGCCATGAGCAAAAGAAACTGGCCTGATATGCTGCCAAAGCATACCAAAAAGGTACGATAATGCATAAAAAGCACACTTGTACATGTACATGAACAAACAATGTACATGTACATGAATCTACACCTATGGCGACATATGCCTAATACTAGTTGCATTCATATGGTCTTTGATGTGTACATGAACTTCAAGTCTCAGTTATTAAATTTTGTTATGTACTTCTAGTCAGTCACTGTAGCTTAATGACAGCATTCTGTTATATTGTTTGTGTACCACTTGTAGATTTAAAACCAAAGAACATTTCACCACTTACCTAAATCAAATGTGTCTGGAGTTACTGTAATGGGTGTTGTTGGAGACTCAATTGCCAACCGGCCCTCTGTCTCTAGCTCATTCACTGTATTGAAGAAAGAATTTCAGAATTTACACCCAGATGACAAACATTTACTCTCCATACAGTGTGTTATACACACAATCCTTAAATCATTCAGTATAATTTTGTTTTTTCAAGTCAGACTTGACAAAAGCAAATGTAACTGTAAGCTTTAAACACACCCTCTACATGTACCAACTTTACTAAGTCACAGCCAATTTAGAATTTTTATCCTAGAATCACCTCTGGGTGAGAGTTGGCAGGTACTACACATTCTTGACAAACTCCATATACAATGTGCATGCAAATTCAACTAGATACTCTCCAAAACTAACCAAAACTAGCCTGCCTGCTCTCACCAAGACAAACGGGAGACAACAAAATCAACTGGAAGGTCTAAAACAGGGATGAGGAGTGAGGAGTGAGGAGTGAGGAGTGAGGAGTGAGGAGTGAGGAGTGAGGAGTGAGGAGTGAGGAGTGAGGAGTGAGGAGTGAGGAGTGAG